GAAGTATCATCTTGTACTTGGGGGATCTCCTTGGGGTTGGGGCTAGTTCGCTCGGTTTTGAAACCACGAGCCATTTGTCAGCAAACAGAGCTGATTGATCGGAGATTCTTGATGAAGAGCGAATACTAAATCACTGCCCTCCTTGTAGCATCAAACTGTTGATGCTTGATTTTGACACCAACAATTCACACGTGTAAAGTGCTAAGCTAACTTAGAAATTACACGTAAATGAAAGATGCAATGAAGAAAATGGAAGATGATTTTTAAAGTGGTTCGGATGCTTAAAGCGAATCCTACGTCCACTGTTCTTTTATATATATGAGGTTATAGGAGGTCGCGTATAGCGAACAGTGAGCAGAGATACAAATGACTGATTATTCAAAGAGAATATCACGTCAGTCTATTTCTCACAGGTTATCTGTGCTCTGAGAATAAAAGGTTACAATCAGAATGCAGGTTTTTTTTTCAGAATCTCGAAAATGAGAGGGAGAACCCTCTATTTATAGTAGAAGGTTTCAGGGTAATGATTACAAGTCTGCAAGTAGGCAGGTGCAGTACAATTCCTACCACACTTCCCATTGGCTTATTACATAGGAGATATCCTCAAATTGCGTAGGGCTCGGACAGGTGGGCGACTCCCATCCACTCATAGATAAAGCGTGAGTCTGCCAAGTTGATGACAACTATACTCTTTTTGTCTTTTGACGACGTGACAGCTCTTGGATGACACAAAACTTTCCTTAACTCTGATGGGCGCTAGCTAACGTAAGCTTGAGTCAGCCTTGATTTTTTAAGCATAACAGTTCTCAAAGTCAATTCAACGTAACTTACTAGCAAAATCATATAAAGGAATAGGAAGACATTTTATTTAGTTAGTTGAATGAATCTATAATCAGATGGCATTTGAAACGCAATGAAAAAATAACAATAAAATAAAACTTTGATTATAAGATACAGAAAATCCTAGTGAAAGTTTTAGGAATTTAATTATATTTTTTGCTCTAGTTTGTGGTCTAAGAACTAAAATTTCACTCGTTAAAATAAGTAATGTTATTAGTAATCAAATTTAATGGTCTGGTTTTTCTGTAGTTTCAATTTATAATTAAAAAAAAAAAAAAAAAACATGATAAATGAGGCTTAAAAAGAGATTCAATGGGGTTTAAATAACCTTACTCAATGATTTTTCATCCCCGCATTTATTTTAGGCCAGAGTCGGGGATTTTCCATTTTCATAAACAATATACCATTATATATATGTTCACTCATCAATATCCAAACATACTCTTACGGTCAAATTTCAAAATTTAAAAGTTTACCTTGGTGCTAAGATAAGATATTATATTTAAAGATCATTTTCTATTCCAATGTAGTTATATTTTTTTTTTTCTTTTGGATTTATCAATTTTTGTACAAATTTTCATTTTTTTATTAATTTTTATTCTTGATAATATCCTTTGATATATATACATAGGATTATATAACTATAACAAAGTAATACACTTATTTTACTATACTATCATTTTACTTAATGATGATTGAGACTGACTATTAAAACACAATCACAAGTTTGGAATAAATTAAATAGCCACGAACTTTATCGTTTAAACGATTTAACACATATTACTTAAGATATAAGCTCATAGATAACTCACTTAAGCCCTAAATTGATGGCTATTTAATTAATTCAAACTTGAAATGATATTTTAATTAATTTTCCCATGCCATGATTTTTATCAATAACTTAGATTTTGTAGACATTAATGCTTCTATAATTGTGATATCACAATGTCATTGCATAATCAGAATTCAGTTATCTAACCATAATTAGTATAGAAAAGGGTTTACCTTAACTTAATTAGAGATTTGTACCAATATCTTAGCTGTATACAAATTAATTCTTCTATATTTGGTATTGCATAATCATATTTCAAGAGTTTTATCTTAGTGGAAGGATTATATAATCTGTGACAAGTCCTTTATATTATTGCTTTTTTGTTCGTGATAACATATTTGTCATTACGTAATCCGATCTCACTTGCCTCAATTGATGATGTTATCTAAATTAAGGTTTAAGAAAATTAAAAATAATAGCAATGTTATCAATTAGATTACAAACTTTTCAAAATTTAGTAATAAGAGGGTACAAGTTACAAATCCTTCAATTAAGGGTCATTGTCGTTGTCAAAAAGACTTAAATGCCCTTGATATTTTTTCTATTTTTTAAACTAAAACTTTGTGTTTAATTAAAAGTAATACCATATGTAGTGAATCAAGATTTTTATCTAAATTAAGGATTATATCACACAAGTGACCTATTCAAGTCCTGTACGTTATTGCTTTTGTTCGTGATAACATATTGAGATTGCATAATCAGATTCAAACTTTGTTTACTTCAATTGATGATAGTTATCTTATTCTAGTTTTATGAAATTAAAAGTAATATTATAAGTAGTTTTTCATTAAAAATTTCTAAAAGTATTATATTATATGTGACATCCCAGGTCAACCTTTTTTTTTTTTTTTTTTTTTTTTTTTTTTTTTTTAATAAAACAAGGAGATAAGCCAACAGAAACAACACAAAACAAGAGCTAAGAGGGCTTTTGCCCAAAGAACAAGATCCTTAATTATATAAACAATGGATAAAGGAGGAGAGTGAAAAAGATGGAATCTTAAGAGGAAGGCACTAGGCAAGGTCAGCCATTGAAATCCTTTCTTAGTAGATATGTATGAATGCGGTCGGATTAAGCTTTTGTCAGTCGACATTATTAAATTATAAAAATCATATTTACATATTCTCATAAGAAAATCCTTTTCCATCCACGTCTTCTATATATTAAAGAAGATTTTTTTTTTTTTTTTTTCCAAATAGTCCCTTTCACTATTTTTAGATGGCATTGGCACTCATTAGAATTTTTTTTTTTTTTTTTTTTTGGGTTAATATTCATTAAAGATTTGCAGTCTAGTATATGATGAAGTCCTTTTTAAATTGAAAATAAAACATGTGAAATAAACTTATGATGTGATCATGATTTAGATTGCATATAATGTATCATATAATTATGTATTTTTTTTCTCATTCCCTTATTAAGCTGTCCAACTTTTCTTAGAGGGTGTTTGTCTAAGCTTATAAGTTCTAAAATTAAGCTGACCTGTTTGTTTATAACTTTTTTAAGCTTATAAGTTGAGCTTATAAGCCAAAAAAAATATTCTATTCAACATTTTTCAGGGGCTTTTTCTATCCAACGTTTTGTTTTGTTCAAACTTTTGCACTTCCTCTTATAGTTATGGTCATGGTTTTGTTCAAACTTTTCTAAAAATTAATATTATTCTCAAGATTAATTAAAGAATTTTATGATATTATTGGCTTTAAATTATAGCATTACATAATCAAAATTAATCACAAAATTAAGAATCTATATCATTTTCTCTCAACCATTCACATCATTTCTAAGATCAATGTCAATATCTATATCTCCACTTGTATTATTATCATCATGCAAAATGGGTAAAACATGTTTCTCTTCACTTTCTCCATGCAAAATGAGTAAATTTGGACAGGTTTTAATGAACCGAGTTCGGTGACCTGGATTCGACCCAAAAAAAATTTGGTCCTCAGGCCCAATTTAATAAAATCGTATCGATTTGTATCAATATTTTTAAGGATATGAACGGATACGTATCGTATCGTAAGATACATATCAACATATCGAAAGGTTTAAGATACACTGTCAGATACGTATTATTGACGACTCGTATCGAATTGTATTGTAGGATACTAATAACCATGGTTATGGTTATAGAAAATCTATAAAAATCATCAATTATAAGGTTGTATAGAAGCATGATCTAGAAATAATTATCAATCTCATGGAGAAAATAAAGGGAGATTTCATATCCGAAATTAATTTATAAAAGAAAATATATTTCCACTAATTAATATGTGAAATAATCAAACCTTATGGGGCTGCCTTGGATCATAAGTGAAAAAAGAAGAAGGTAAAATCAGTCTAAACTTTATTAGAGATATACATCCATATAGATACCAAATTTAAACCATTTTACACAAGCAAATCTTCTGTTAGTGGTGGCGGTGGCGGCGGAGGATAATCGGATGTCCTGGAACTAGGCCCAGATGGAGGAATAGGCGCACCCTTAGGCAGCTTTCCAAAATTCCAATTTCTGGAAAAGGACAAATCTTTTGGGCTCACAACGTTGTTCTGAATTGGAAAATGACCACCTGTAATTGGTTTCATCTCAAGCTTCCTGGCACTAGATGGCCCGAATGCAAAACCTGAAGCCATTGCAATCACAAAGACAACTAACAGCAGTTTTTGAAAAGCTTTTCCCATTTTCTATAATGCTAATTTTCTTTGGTTTTTGTGGATTTTACCTCAATATCGCTATTAAATATAGTCTAGGCATCCACAGGGCATGGCTCCAAGAGTCGACAGAAAGAATATTGCCTTCCTTGAAATATGCCTCGTTTTTATGTTTGTATATTTCATATTGATTGTTTTTTAAATCTCTTACCCATAAACTAATGTCCATATTTAGTGTAAATCTAAGTGATATCTATGTACGAATCATTTAAAAGTTATACTTACTATTGATGTGGTATAATGGATCTCATTTGTTATAAAACAAGAATGATATCTCATCATAAAAGGAATGAAATCCCTTGAATTTTTGGATATACAAGGACAGAATATCTCTAGAACTTTTCTTGGATTTCATATTCAAAATCATATAGTTTTAAAGATCATATTTGCTATGCATCATACAGAAATATATATATATATATATATATATATATTTGAATATTCATTAAATTGATATCATCTACTGAATAGAGTACGATCACTCTTACTAGTATGAAGAGAATGAGGCTAATAAATTCAAGGTAGAAATTACTCTATATATTGAGTAACACCAAATCTATCAATAGAGAAACTAAAACTAGACAGAATGAAAAAAAAAATGAATGAAAGAAATATGATCTCCTAAATATCAAAGGGTCCATTGGGATCCAATTGTTTACATAACCCTAAATAAGTAAGATAAAGAACTCTATCTTTGGCTCCCGTCCTGTGATTCTTCGTATGTTTGCAGAAATACTTCAACTGAGAAAGTTTGAGGCACCCAAGCATTTGTCCCAGAAGCAAAAACAGCCAATTTATTGATTTCTTCTTCGAAGTAACTGGCCTCACACTATTATTTTGACCACAAACTTTACAACTAGGAAGATTAGGGTTTATCCAAATCTCTGGTGCTCGATCATGCATTGTAAACTTATTCTCTGAAATGAAAGATGCAACCTCCATAAACTTTTCTTGCAAATCATATTCAATCTCGAAACTTATCTCGCAACGTTTGCATTGAAGCTCCCCTCTGATCTTGGTAATATTATGTGACAAAAGATGTTCGAGACTGTAAACTGTGGCGCGATGAGTTGTTGCCCACGGGTAGGGTGCAGGTACGGCTTCGGTTTTACCTGGCTTGAGCTTTTGAGCTGGAGATCTTCGAGTTCGCGACGAACGGGACGGACCTGCACCAGTAGTAATCTCTTGGCTGAGCGTTGGTGATGGATGGGATTCGTGCGAAGAGGGTGGAGAAAGAGGAATTGCTAATGGAGGCAAATTCAAATTCTGACAATGAGGATTTGTTTGTGCTGCGGCCGATGGATCCGGCGGCGGCAAAGAGAGGGTGAGATTCAGCCAACCATCATCTTCTCTGTCAGAGATGTCATTCAATGGGGAAGAAGACATGGACCTTTTCATGATTTTTAGATCTGGGAAATTAATGATATAAAGAAAGACAGGAACCCTACAAAATCTTGGAAACAATTGAGGAAGACAAGAAATTTATTAAGGAAAATAAAAAATAATCGAGGGAAGACAATGTTGTAGGAAGAAAATTACAAGAAACTGTGAAGAAAATTAAATTGAAGACAAGTTGAATGAGTGAAGACAACAGAAACAAAAAGAGATGGTGACTATCCAAAATTCTGTTTAGATTAGAGTTCTACTAAATTAAAATTTGAAATTTGAAATAATAATAATAATAATAATAATAATCTGTAAATTTTGTAGTTATCTTTGACTATAACAACTTAAATTAGTGGCAGTTGATTTTGGATGTGGGAACTAATATTTACGGAGGTTCTGAAACGTGGGTGTCCATGCAACATCATGCAAAATTTTCTTCATTTCTTGTTTTAATTGCTCTTCAGCCCCAAGCATTTTTTATATTTCGTCCGAAACACAAGCAAAAAGCTGTTAGTTTTGGGTAACAAAATTTTCAATTTTTGAATTTTGATCTTAAATGGTATCAAAGTAAGGCTTAACAATATTATAGGACTTTAAATTAAGCCTTTTCAAATTAATACCACACTTCGTTATTGTGCGATATATTGTCAGATTCAAGTTTATATGCAGCGTATACATATATCATTGAATAAAATAATTTCTTACAAATGTTACCAAATGGATGTAAATATATATGTAAAATAAACTATAATTCATCAGTCTGATGAGGTAAAATATTAATCGAGCCCTGGTGACGTAAATGAGATTGAAGAACATAATATATAAACATTTACTCTAACTCAGATTTCTCGCTAGGAATTATAATAGATACGGCATATTCATCAATTCTTTTTTTTTTTTTTTTAATGACTGTGGTTGTTTTGGCTGGTTTGCACACATCTCAACTAATTTTTCGAAACTCTGAAATTATCGACTTAGTAGTTGAGGTGAATCGAACTCATAACTTCTTGAATAATATACCCAAAAGTCTTAACATATTTATTGTACATACAGAAATGTGTCCTAAAGCTAAGGGATTAGTATTCATTTTCATGTTAAATCGATGAGAGTTAAACATTTTTTATCAGCTTTACTAGAAGAACTAGTCAAGCTATTTTAAGCACAGCCGGTTAATGGGACAATTGAAGCTCATTTAGGTCAAAGATATAACCCAGGTCAACCTTTTTTTTTTTTTTTTTTTTTTTTTTTTTTTTTTTAATAAAACAAAGGAGATAAGCCCAACAGAAACAACACAAAACAAGAGCATAAGAAGGGCTTTTGCCCAAAGAACAAGATCCTTAATTATATAAAACAATGGATAAAGGAGGAGAGTGAAAAAGATGGAATCTTAAGAGGAAGGCACTAGGCAAGGTCAGCCATTGAAATCCTTCTTAGTAGATATGTATGAATGCGGTCGGATTAAGCATTTTGATCAGTTCGACATTATAAATTATAAAAATCATATTTACATATCTCATAGAAAATCCTTTTCCATCCACGTCTCTATATATTAAGAAGATTTTTTTTTTTTTTTTTTCCAAATAGTCCCTTTCACTATTTTAGATGGCATTGGCACATTAGAATTTTTTTTTTTTTTTTTTGGGTTAATATCATTAAGATTTGCAGTCTAGTATATGATGAAGTCCTTTTTAAATTGAAAATAAAACATGTGAAATAAACTTATGATGTGATCATGATTTAGATGCATATAATGTATCATATAATTATGTATTTTTTTTCTATTCCCTTATTAAGTGTCCAACTTTTCTTAGAGGGTGTTTGTCTAAGCTTATAAGTTCTAAAATTAAGCTGACTGTTTGTTTATAACTTTTTAAGCTTATAGTTGAGCTTATAAGCCAAAAAAAAAAATATCTATTCAACATTTTCAGGGGCTTTTTCTATCCAACGTTTGTTTTGTTCAAACTTTTGCACTTCCTCTTATAGTTATGGTCATGGTTTGTTCACAACTTTCTAAAATAATATTATTCTCAAGATTAATTAAAGAATTTTATGATATATGGCTTTAAATTATAGCATTACATAATCAAAATTAATCACAAAATAAGAATCTATATCATTTTCTCTCAACCATTCACATCATTTCTAAGATCAATGTCAATATCTATATCTCACTTGTATATTATCATCATGCAAAATGGGGTAAAACATGTTTCTCTTCACTTTCTCCATGCAAAATGAGTAAATTTGGACAGGTTTAATGAACCGAGTTCGGTGACCTGGATTCGACCCCAAAAAAATTGGTCCTAGGCCCAATTTAATAAAATCGTATCGATTTGTATCAATATTTTTAAGGATATGAACGGATACGTATCGTATCGTAAGATACATATCAACATATCGAAAGGTTTAAGATACACTGTCAGATACGTATTATTGACGACTCGTATCGAATTGTATTGAGGATACTAATACCATGGTTATGGTTATAGAAAATCTATAAAAATCATCAATTATAAGGTTGTATAGAAGCATGATCTAGAAATTTATAATCTCATGGAGAAAATAAAGGGAGATTTCATATCCGAAATTAATTTATAAAAGAAAATATATTTCCACTAATTAATATGTGAAATAATCAAACTTATTGGGCTGCCTTGGATCATAAGTGAAAAAAAGAAGAAGGTAAAATCAGTCTAAACTTTATTAGAGTATACATCCATATAGATACCAATTTAAAACCATTACACAAGCAAATCTTCTGTTAGTGGTGCGGTGGGGCGGCGGAGGATAATCGGATGTCCTGGAACTAGGCCCAGATGGAGGAATAGGCGCACCCTTAGGCAGCTTTCCAAAATTCCAATTTCTGGAAAAGGACAAATCTTGGGCTCACAACGTTGTTCTGAATTGGAAAATGACACCTGTAATTGGTTTCATCTCAAGCTTCCTGGCACTAGATGGCCGAATGCAAAACCTGAAGCCATTGCAATCACAAAGACAACTAACAGCAGTTTTTGAAAAGCTTTTCCCATTTTCTATAATGCTAATTTTCTTGGTTTTTGTGGATTTACCTCAATATCGCTATTAAATATAGTCTAGCATCCACAGGGCATGGCTCAAGAGTCGACAGAAAGAATATTGCCTCCTTGAATATGCATCGTTTGACTCTTACGGTCAAATTTCAAAATTTAAAAGTTTACCTTGGTGCTAAGATAAGATATTATATTTAAAGATCATTTTCTATTCCAATGTAGTTATATTTTTTTTTTTCTTTTGGATTTATCAATTTTTGTACAAATTTTTATTTTTTTATTAATTTTTATTCTTGATAATATCCTTTGATAAATATGCATAGGATTATATAACTATAACAAAGTAGTACACTTATTTTACTATACTATTATTTTACTTAATGATGATTGGAACTGTCTATTAAAACACAATCACAAGTTTGGAATAAATTAAATAGCCACGAATTTTATCTCTTAAGCGATTTAACACATATCGCTTAAGATATAAGCTTATAGATAAGCGTATATCATTTAAGCAATAACTTCATAACTATCTAATTAATTCAAACTTGAAATAGTATTTTAATTAATTTTCCTATGACATGATTTTTATCAATAACTTAGATTTTGTAGACATTAATGCTTCTATAATTGTGATATCACAATGTCATTGCATAATCAGAATTCAGTTATCTAACCTTAATTAGTATAGAAAAGGGTTTACCTTAACTTAATTAGAGATTTGTACCAATATCTTAGCTGTATACAAAATTAATTCTTCTATATTTGGTATTGCATAATTACATTTCAAGAGTTTTTATCTTAGTGAAGGATTATATAATCTGTGACAAGTCCTTTATATTATTGCTTTTTTGTTCGTGATAACATATTTGTCATTACGTAATCCGATCTCACTTGCCTCATTTGATGATGTTATCTAAATTAAGGTTTAAGAAAATTAAAAATAATAGCAATGTTATCAATTAGATTACAAACTTTTCAAAATTTAGTAATAAGAGGGTACAAGTTACAAATCCTTCAATTAAGGGTCATTGTCGTTGTCAAAAAGACTTAAATGCCCTTGATCTTTTTTCTATTTTTTAAACTAAAATTTTGTGTTTAATTAAAAGTAATACCATATGTAGTGAATCAAGATTTTTATCTAAATTAAGGATTATATCACACAAGTGACCTATTCAAGTCCTTTACGTTATTGCTTCTTTGTTCGTGATAACATATTTGAGATTGCATAATCAGATTCAAACTTTGCTTACTTCTAATTGATGATAGTTATCTTATTCTAGTTTTATGAAAATTAAAAGTAATATTGTAAGTAGTTTTTCATTAAAAATTTCTTAAAAGTATTATATTACCTATGTGACATCCCCA